AGGGCAATACTTTTGGCTGATAAGGTTTGAGGCGGCCTTTGCTGCAGTGGGGTGCAAACGGGACACTGGCATTTACTGTGTGCAGGTAGCTTGTTAAATGAAGTGTCTGTTAGGTCTGTGTGACTTAGTTCTGGCTTGTCAATTAATTGTCTTTCTATGCTAGCAAGTCGGGTATTTATCTGTGCACTCACATGAAGAACAATACTGATGCTCAGGAATTTGGTAGTGTTGTACTATGAACGTCTAAAGGCACTGTAGAGAGACTTCATTTTGCTAAACTAGGAGAAAGAGTAAAGGTTTCTGGACGAGATGCTTGTTTTTGTCTAAAGAAATACTGAAAGGCAGTGATACAGAAGTATTTTTATTAGTAAAAAGCAAATGCAGTATTTCTGAATTGTGCCTGTTCGGATAGTCTTTTGCGAGTTGGTCAAGTTCATATGAAAACTTTGCAGTCAATGTGTACCTTCAACACAAGTTATTAAGAAGCTCTAAGTTGTTCTGAAGTTATTGCTAATACCTGTGATTTGAGTGTACTTGATCAGTTGGCTTTGCACTGACAGTACATAAAGCTGCCCTGAAAGTAGGATTTGACACAGTGAATTTGTCTGCTTTGACACAGTGAATTTTTCTGCTTGGGCTGGTTCAGCATTCTGCAGGATGTTGTACTGTATATTATTGCATCCTAGAAATAACATCATTCTAAAGGAGGCTCCCAGTAGGCGGCAAACCTGAAAACAGATTAAATTGCAGCAAGGTGAGGATGTTTTTATTGTGTAGGCACCTAAATGTGTATCACATTTTATGAGCAGCTCCCAGGTGCTCATAATAACTAAGTTTGTTTCTGGATGGAAGGTTTCGGCATAGGACAAAAATCTCTGTCTTCTAAAGTAGCAACCTGTGAAATGCCTTCTCACACCRCAGATGTTTTCACAGACTTCTCTCAGACCTGTATGAGTTAGTCTGTTAGTATTTTACATGATGTAAAGTTATTTTAACTTAACCTTCAAATGGAAATTTGGCCATTCACCTCAACTTGAACGTAGAAGCTAAAAAAAAAAAAGTCTTCAGCCTAGTTTGTTCCATTTGCTAAATCCTGTGGTCTGCTCCCCCATCACACATGTGCAGATGTGTTYCTTCCCCCACAAAATTGTGAAATAACCCAGAAAATCTATTGGTGAGATTTTGCAGGGGTCGAGTCATTATTAAGTCACAGGAAACTCTTCATGAAGCATGCTGTGTGGAAACTAAAAACCAGACATGAGGTCAAAGCTCATGCAAGCCCTTTTTGTAAGTGCTGACCTGGGGGGTAGGAGTCAATCGTCTCGGAATGAGCGAGGGTGTGCAAATTGAAAACAGCTCTGCCACCCACCCTGAGTCCCCCTCTCTGGCAGACACAGGTCWAGGTTTTGATTAAGCCAAGCTGCTTCCTCGTCTGGTGCTGATGGGCTGTGCCTGCCACTGCACAAGTGCCTTAATCTTTTAATATCATAAGGCATTCTTTTTAAAAAGCTCTTTAATTAAACAGGATTGCTATAAATGTAGRTTAAAGCTAGTGATCCATTTTCAGGTGGTTTAAAGGAAAGAGAATGCAAAAGTACAAATTACTGTTAAATTTCAGCATCAGGAAGGATTTGTACAAGGGGATTTGCCTTCTAACCACATTGTGTCTTTCTAGCCCCCTCAGCTCCTTCCTTCACAACCATCTCCCTCATAGCAACCCCTTAAGAAATGGCCTCGAAGAGAGCATTGGTGATTCTGGCAAAAGGGGCAGAGGAGATGGAAACAGTCATCCCCACTGATGTTATGAGAAGGGCTGGGGTGAGTATGCAGACACTGAAAAATCTCTCTGAGTGCGTGGCCTCAGGGATATTTTTGCCTCAAGTTGATGTTCATTGCTAGGAATTCAGTGTGTGGTTTGCTGTGTGAAGTGAAAATTTACCCTTACCATCCTATTGGTTAACAAATATTCATGTCATGCACCTAATGAGCATGCCTGACAACTGACATTTTTTGGTAACCTTTCAAAAAGGGTAACCTTTCAAAGAACTGGACTAGGGCAGATGTTTCAGGTAAATGCTACTCTGTCTGATGGCTGCTTACATGCACAGTTACTGGAAGTGCCTCTTTTGTAGGAGTCTGAACAGCTCAGTACATTACAGCTCATCACATTGCATAGCTTTTCGTGAGCTACTTTGGAAATTCAGTTATTAACTAGAGTTGTGGCTGTTGTGATTCCTCACACTGTCACTCCTGCAGTTGTAGTAG